CAATGAAATACCACATTTAGATCTACCAAACATGAGAGGTGTTTAATATCTTCATTCATTTGTACCCACTAGTCCCTTGAGAATCTGCCTATATTTTTTTTATTTTATTTATGAAACGTCCTTGTCTTCCTCTCTGGCTCACTGCTCTTGTTTGCTAAACATGTGTGAGTGCTTTAGCTGGAAGGGAATATGGATGAGACGAAATGAGATGCATAAATAAGCCACAGAGCAGGATAATAAGATGCATAATTGGTTTAGATTTTCTGCCCATTAACAAAGGCCTCCCTTTCTGTCTCACTCACCAATATCCAACGCTGCCCTCTTCTTTTTAATGCCGAATGCGTGCTCCTCTTCAGATCTCCCTGTATACAGCTGTGCTGCAGGTAGATTTCTATACGACTGACACAACGCCTCTCTGCTCGTTAAATTGAATACTGAGGAACACAAACAAGAAAATGAAAATTTGAAGACAATCCTATTAATTTTATTTGGAGAGTGACATTAAATCACTGTGTGTGTGTAAGAAATATTGTATTTTTATGCTGCTAAAAGCCCATAGCAACAAATTGCATCCCAGAACTTGTACAATTAAGAGTTCCAGATAGTGTAATGTTTTTTTCTGTCTCTCTTCCTGTCTTTTCAAGGTGTGGGTGGATGCTGCCGCTCAGATATTCTTCTCTCTGGGGCCAGGGTTCGGGGTGCTCCTGGCTCTCTCCAGCTACAACCCTTTCACAAATAACTGCTATCGGTAAGATCTGAGACTCCATGAGTCATGTGAACTTACATTTGTGGCTTGAACACAGCTTAACAAGTAGAGGCAAAGGGTCCAAATGAAAGGAAAACCTTTGCACACTGAATCATAAGAAATCGCACCTTCTGTTGAAGTTAAGGATTAAGTTTAATGACTTTAGTGTGGTCAGTTAGCGGTTTAAGAGCAGCAGACAATGATTTGAGAGGCAGGAGTGGTGAATACTACATGGTGGGTATAAATGCCAAGCTGTACAACGCAGAAATTAAATTGTACACTCCCAGGATGACTAATAGTGTGTGCGGCTGATGTGATAAGCAGAGCAGAGTGGCATGTGAGGAAACAGTCACACATCATGAATGAAACTGGATTCTGCCTTTTTCTTGACTGTGAGACTCAAATTAAATATACTCCAAACACACACACCACAGTGTGATGATGATCAAGGAACTTCCAGATAGATGCCTGATTGCTTTTTAAGTTTTTATTAACAAATATAGAGTACATGTTTTGTTTTTTTTAACTACAACTTAGCTGACAAACTGCCAATTCTGGCTTAAAAACATTATATTTCTTAATGTAAAAAAGAAGAAATTGCAGGAACAAATGATAGTGGAAGTGCTTTGGGAGAATGTACTTGTTCCAACACGGATGTTTATTTATTTATATAGAACCATTGATGACTGATTGTGTGGGGCCAGATAGAAGATTTTCCATCATTAAAAGCATTCTGCCATTGGCACTTAGATGTTGGGTGGGGGATAGTAATGGTTGTGGTAACAAAACAAATATCAATAAAGAATAGTAATAGCAATAAAAGTTATACCAATAATAATAATAAAAATAGTAATAATAGGACTATCAATAATTATTTAGCAGTGGGTGTTGAGCAGGAACATGGGGGCAGCAGGTGGGTTGCAATCATGGATCCAGACTTTGCAGATGTGGAGGCGGAAATACCTGCTGAAAGCGACAGAAGCAGACAGAAAACAAACGAGAACGCACCAAACAATGTTATTATTGTTGCAAGATTTCTATTGGTTCTAGTCCTAGTTAGAAATTCCTCATGTCTCAGACACCAAGCTGAAGAGAAGGATCCCATTAAACAAAGGTTAGAAGGGTCAGCAAAGGATTGAACAGCTTTCAATTGAATGCTAATAATTAAGTTGCATGTCCTTGAACAGGGTGTCATTTCTTCTTCAACAGTGACGCCATCGTGACCAGTTTGGTGAACTGTCTGACCAGCTTTGTGTCGGGGTTTGTCATCTTCACGGTGCTGGGCTACATGGCAGAGATGAGGAAGGTGGAGGTTGAGGATGTCGCCCGGGATAAAGGTCGGCGAATGAGTTTTACATTTAAAATCATGAAAACAAACAAACAAACGAAAAATAATAAGACTCTCCCTGATCTCAATATCTTCATGCTTTCAGGACCAAGTTTACTCTTCATCACTTATCCGGAAGCCATTGCAAACATGACGGGCTCAACCTTTTTTGCTATCATCTTTTTTGTGATGATGATCACGCTGGGACTGGACAGCACGGTATGAATTGTGAACTCTGGACACTTCTTAAGTACACGAGGGTCATGGAAAACGATTCAGCTGAACAACCTTTATTTTATGGGCTACATTTAACTGTCAAGTTCATAAATTAAGATTATTTGGTTCAGGTTGATATTTATATTCATATTTACAAAGAATGAATTACATTACAGTCAATGCTCTTAAAATGTTCACCAATAAAAGAAGACTGCATGTATTTTTAGCATTTATTGCATTTTAGTTTCATTTCTACAATAAACATTTTAGTAGAAAAGGTTACAAGTTAGTGTTACACATTTCTACATTCACTTCAAATATGCAAATGTAGGCCTTGATGCAATGCTGTAGTGATGTTAACATTACTGAATTGTACATTTTTACCTGACATAAAGCATCCAAATCAATCGAATAGCTTATGCAGAGTGAAATATGCTAGAATAAAATACCGTACATTTTTGCTCTTTCTCTGTGTTTCAGTTTGGTGGGCTGGAGGCGATCATCACTGCTGTGCTGGATGAATACCCGGATCATTTCTCTCACAGACGTGAACTCTTTGTTCTGGGCTTGGTAGTTGTCTGCTTTTTGGGCTCTCTAAGCACCCTTACAAATGTACGTTTTTCAAATTTTAAATTAGATAACCAAGTAGAACAAAAATTCAATCCCTCGTTAATTCAAACAATTATCTTCAATCACATTTATTGTGAGGTTCATGCAGTTCTGGATACACTGTAGTGAATTAAGAACTGAGATCTGCAGTCTGTTGCTCACATGGAGGAAAATGCGTGATGATGGGTGATGTTATTAGTCAGTGTGAAATGTTATTGACAGGGCGGTGCCTATGTGGTGAAGCTGCTGGAGGAATTTGGAGTAGGATGCTCCATTATTGCTGTGGGTTTCCTTGAGGCCATTGCGGTTTCCTGGTTCTACGGTAAACAAGAGATTATTATCGATTGACTGGTATTCAGGTTCTTTTAACTTCCATGTAAATGAATGACCCATAGGATCAAATATATTGTTAGCATGTAGAAGATGAATACTGTAAGTGACTGCGTCTCGTGTTTACTTTGTTGCTTTTAGGTATCAAAAGATTTAGCAGTGATGTTCAGTCCATGCTGGGAAAGGCTCCAGGATTATTCTGGAGGGTGTGCTGGGTCGCCATCAGTCCA